GTTCGTTCACACCTTTTTGAAACAGCTGTAATTATCATGGGTAATCACAGGACCCTGGATAATTCAAAAAAGGGTACGAGCCCTCCCTCAGACATGTTTTTATTAAATTAGACCATTTTTTTGGCCAAACTTTTCTAAATTTTGGTCAAATTAAAATTTAATTTTTATTTTGAGCAGAATTTAAAAAAATTTGGGCCAAAAAAGTGGACAAAATGTCCGAAAATTTATTATTAACTCAACTCATACCTCTATTAGTATTATCCGAGGTCCTGTAATCATGGGTAGATCTATGAATTGTAATTTATCGTAAATTTCGGTGCAAGGTACCAGTACCTGGGTATTTTACATTCCACGTAACAACAAACCTTAATTTATATCTCGGGTATATTGTATGGCAGGGTATATTACATAGAGGTATCTTGTAAAGAGTGTATATTAACCCATAAGTAAAAAAAATTATTATTAGTAAATCGGCCTTTAATTTGTACTCAGGTCTCTTACAAAACACCACAACAAATAGCCTTGAATATACTCAGTACAAATCAAGGAGGGTACCTTGCATCGAAATTTACGGTAATCGTGATAATGCTAATTGGCCGAATTGTGAAATCATCATGCAGTTTAAGTAGAATCTATTTTTAGCGAATTTCCATGTATTACTGCATTACCTTTTTACATGTTTGCATTGCTCACTTATTTCATAATGAGCAGGTCCAAACTTTCTAAATAGTTGAGATCCGGTGTTATTAAGCAAAATATAAAGAGTATACTTAAATCTACTATTGATTCATTACGTGACGTATATCTATTAAAGGTCTCTACTGAGATTATATCCAAATCACTTCACGATATTCTATGTAATGACAAAGTTTTCATGAACAGTCAAAAATACACACTAAAATATTTGATTGATTTAAGAAAAAAAAATGAGGAAAAAAATTCTCCCAAACTATCAAGGCAATATGCAGTATTCAAAAAATAAGTTTATTAATCTGCTTTTTTTAGATCAAAAGTGACCAATAATTACAATACTGAACAAACCTGAGAATCATCACCCCTACTCATCAAGCAGATTTTTTCCTTCAGTGATGAGGAGCAAGGTACCATTATTGAATCTCTTCTTAATTTAGTTAAAAAAGCATTTAATGAGTTCTTTATCAAGAAAGAACATATGATTCCTTCTGAGGTCATCAAGGGCTTTGCTGCCAAACAGCATCTATTCATAAATCCAGACTTTAGTAATGCTAATACTCTAAATATGCTTAATTTCATAATCAAAAATATAAAAATTTTTGATAAATCAGTATTCCACAGCCAACATAAATCAGCTCCTGTTAATCTTTTCAAAAATTTTAAGAACAATATTCAGCATAAAATAGCATATGGTATCTTAATAGATCAAAAGGGTCGATGAAATGATTATGCACTCCAAAATGTTGCTATTCTTGCATGTGATATCATTACATATTTAGGTAAGTAATTTATATAATAACATTAACTTTGTATAAAAATATTGTCTCATTATTTCTTTTTATACCAGATAGCAACTATAAAGAATTATATACTATAAAAGAAAGATTAGATAATGCAATTATTAAAAAATAGACAGACAAACCAACTTTAGAAGTTGAAAATAAGAACTATGAGAATCAAATACAATCACCAAAAAAAAAGCATAATGACTCGAATTTTTGTAAAATGTTAAAATTTGTTTGAGATATTTTAAAAGAGGTTAATAAAATGAAAGAGGAGTTCAAGCAAAAGATAATGAAACTGGCATTAAGAGAAGATGAAGATTTAATCCAGATTAGAGAGCTATTAAAACAACAGAATGCAGAAGGAAGCAATCCTATGAATTTATTGATTTTGTGAATCTAGTATTTAACTTAGTAAGTATTAAATTTTAGATTTTTTGTATATAATAAATCCTTATGTAAATCAATACACACTATATTTTATTTACAGGACTTAAAGTGTATTGGCACTGAAATGAAGTAATCAAAATTCTACTCTAATTTATCTAAAGCAAAACAGATTATGTATATGGTAACTATAGTCAGCAGTACAGTATGTGTGGAATAAGTTTTTACGCAATTTTTACTTCTATATAGGTTGTGGTTATGATTGCGTAACTTGAGACTTCGAATGACTATATAGTTTGTTCTAAGGATAAAATTTTCACTAGTGTTGTTTGAGAATACAAGATATACTCTTAAGATATAGCTTTTTAAACTAAGTTTATAAGGGTTATCAAGTTTCTTGATCTTCACTAGACTCAATAGCTTAATGAGGGTAAACCAAAGCTACTTACCTATATTAATTACCTGCTGACTATTCAGATCTCATTGTCATATAATGTTATATAAGTATTTTTTAATAACTACTTTTTTTTAGGCTGATATATTAAAAAAATGATAAGCAAGAAGATGCTAAAGTTTACGGATAACATCAGAATAGAAAAAAATTATTGCTTGCATTAGATCATCTCTTACTTTACAATAAATAGATTGTCTTACTAAATGATAGTTCTACAAAACAAGTGAATTGTAAAATATTATTTTGCATAATATAATTATGATATAATAAAATTTGGCCTGAAAAATATATACTATATGAGTATATTGATTAATGTATGAGTAGCAATTATGGAACAATTGATATATATAAATTCATATACTATATCACAACTAACTATTTTTTTATTCGAATTCTTAACATATGTGGCTATATATTATAGAATATGTAAAGTTAATACTAAACATAGATCTAAATATTAAGAATCTTGAAATAGATAAAAATCTTCTTAATATCCACTGAAAGAGTTCTTGAATCTAGATTATTCAGAGGGAAAGTTTATATTGAAATGTAAGTCACATAATTAAAGTTAATATGTAGATAATATAACAAAAAAAAAATATGCATTATCTGTAATTGGTTGATAATTAGGCAATCTACCTGTAATTACTCATGATCATTAACTAATCAAATTATATAATTTCAAAGAATTCATTGCTCTAATACTATTAGAAAAATGAAAAAAATGAAAAAACTTCATATAAAAAAAATTTTACAAATCTGTGGTTCTCAATCCAAACAACAAGTTGATGCATTCGAAAATGACAAATATAAAGCATATGATACAACTTTTATGATTTATAAATAACATGAAATGTTGATTTTATTTTTAATCAAACCTGACTTCCGTCCACCAATGCAATTTTCGATGCATATTTGGCAAGTGAAGGCCACCAGTCTGAAGGTAATAATGTTTCTTTGTATTCTTTTCTTACAGCATCAAGATCAAGCCCGCACGGACAAATTATGAGAATTTCGGGTTTTTCACGTATAATATCCTCAGGAGGAACGCGAACCCTTTTAAGTAATCAAAGTTTGACAACAAATTTAATATATAGATTTTAAAAATTTTTAAACCAAATTGCATATATATTCAACGCACGACGGGGGAGCACCCATCTCAGCGATGTCACCGTCTTTACAATCTGCCACCACCTGCATACCCTATGAAGCATAATAGTCATGAAAACATGTGATAGAAATTGTAATGTACGAGAAAATAAATTAAATTTGTAATCTATTACATTACTCCATCGAATCAATTGCGGAGTCCAATGACCACCAAGATATATAGGTGATGTCCATTCAAAAAATGCCACTTTGGAGCGTTTTCTACCTGACGCACTGCTTTGATTAGCAAGATCCCGTACGTGTTTAATACGTGACCTAAGCATTGATATTACTCTGGACGCTTCTTCAATCATCCCTAGTGCTTCACCAACATCAGAAATTGATAATATAACGTCCTAATATTTAAACCACATTCAGAGAAAATAGCACTGTTAAGAAGATGTTCGAGAAGATATTTATCTTCATTCACCTCTATAGACAAAGGATTTAGTGTCACTATAGTAGGTTCTGTCAAAAAAATATTATAATATTGATTTAACATGATTTTAGTAATATGTAGATATCTTTCTT